TTCAAATGGACAGCAACTGTCTGTTGTAGAAACCTACAAATGTAGAGGACTACGTTTCGAAAGTTTTCCGCTTTTCGTCCTCAACGTTTGTAGGTTTCTACAACAGACAGTTGCTGTCCATTTGAAACTTAGATTCATCAAATTAATATTTAGAATCATATGTCTCCTTCATAATACTTTTCCTTTACGTTGATGAACTTTTTAGTGATTGCTTCACAGGTAAAACGGACATCAGATAGGAAAGTTTATTTATCTGTTTTTGTAATATACCACACAAATTGTTTTTACCTTTTTCTTCTCCATAACGACCTTAATCGCATCTAGTACTGGGCTCACCAGTACTTTTTTTTTTGTAAACCAAGAATTTGTTACACTCGGGTAACTCGCCAGGACTCCAAACCCATTGAATTAACATTTTCGGTGACAGGGAATCAAACTCACACCTTCACATTACGAAACAAGCACCCTAACCATCACACTATACCACACCGCTAAGTTAATTTTTTACCATGTTTATGTAACTTCTTAATCAATTACATGTCAAAGAAAGCTGTGACGATAACATCTGGTTTTCTCGGCAAAACCGAACAGGTGGAAAGTAACTGTCAACCAAATAAAAGGGTTGACTGTCATTCTTAACCCACAGTTTAAAGTACAAGACTGTTCGGTGGCAACACTTCGCCTACACTGTATGACTGCGTATTCTCATCAAATTGGTTGTACACGTAAAATATTGTAGACACAAGGCCGTAATTGAGAGCTCGGTGAGCGGAATCTTGAAATGTATGAAAACAAAAAGGATTGAAAAGTGATTCAATCTCGGTAAAGACTACAGAATACACACAGCCATCTCAGGAATTAACCGTAATTTAACTTAGTCGCATAGTTCCGATGTAAGGGTTCTAGTCATATGAGAAAACAATACTCTCTACACAGTCCGATCATCCAAACCCAACACAACAGAATTTACCTGCTCTGTTGTAAAGTGCGAAGAATGAATAATTTGAAACAGCCTCTAACACTGTGGAAAAGCTACAAATATGTTCTAACACCATCAGGAGTTATCTACACAGAATGGGAAATTATGGCAGAGTAGGTAGACAGAAGCCTCTCCTCACTCCAAGTAATATCGTATCTCGACGCCAGTAGATGTCACATCCTCCTGCCTTTTGGGCCACAGTAATTTTTTCCGACGAATCCAAATATTTCTGCTACGGCAAGAGTGCCAATTGGGCAGCTGGACTATTACAACTGGTAGTCGATACATCACAATTCTAAAGCAAGGCGTTCTACCTAGGTGTCTACGCAAATAAATTGCATACTAGAAAAATCATTGTTTTTGTGCAAGGTGGGCTCCTGCTTATTTAGCTTGAGTCAAAAACGATGATGTGAAGGTCGGGAAACAATATCTCTCTCGTGGCCAGGCCAATTGTAAGATATGAACCTTATCGAGCACACGAAGTCCATCATTCATCGCAAAACAATTAACTTCTAAAAGACACGTCCAGTCATGTTACTTGCTAGAAGAAGAGAGTGATCTCGGGGTCAGATTTCAAATCTTGTGTATACGATGTTTTCAAAGAGCAGACCCACTAAAATCTAATGGTTTAATTGTTTTATGTTTTTAATTTAATAAAATGTCGTTCATTCTTGTGACCTTGTTTATTTATTTATTGGTCGGCTATATATAACCCGTATTTTTATTGTTTTTTTTAAGGCACAAGCCTATAAAAATTGAAAACAGCCACGCGACCAATCATAATGATTTATGAAGGTGTGTACATCAGACTGAAAACAGCCACGCGA